AACCATAACTCTTATTTATTCAAATTGTATTAATATGTAAAGACCAAGTGTAACCTATATCATCGTTAAATCTTATCTTATAAAATCAGTGGAACTTCAAAATCGTTAAAAATTCATGGCTTCCGCCGCATTGCGTGGGTATACAACTAGTATATATATATATATATATATATATATATACACACACACCACACCCCTCTATGTCATTTTAAGAAAAATACAAATGTACTACCATTCATGCATCTAGTCAACAACCCTCTGAGGTCTTATATTGGCATTGACGATGTTAACAATATCGTTAAAGAAAGTAAATTGTTGTACCTGAGGAGCTATTTACATCAGTGTTCATTGGGAAAGAATCACTGTACTTACTTACTAGGATTAAAAATCTACCCAATAAGCGAAGGCGGCGATTCTCACTTGGTCACGGCTTATTGGGTTAAAAACACTTGCCATCAAGTCTTACTATGCCATTTTGATGAAGGTAATTTTATCCAATAAGTTAACTGACGACTGTTACCCGATTAACGTTTGTAAATGGCCCCTAATTTATTGAAAAGAACGACAGTGAAAGAATATGGGCTTTGTGACACCCGAGTATTAATTTCACAGGATCAAAACTATCTCACCTGATTTCGGTCATTTTAAGCCACCTAATTAGACAAGAGCGTTACTCCTTGACATTTCGAAGGAATGCATAAAAGTTGCCAAAAATATCAATCTAACAAAGATGGTACTATCAATACATGAAATATAACAAATCTAGGCTTGTATCTGATGTCAAAATCGGCTTTAGAAAATTCTCACGGACAACAAAAACCGTCTAAAGAAACTTCCTAAACCTATAGAGTTCAAAAATTTCAGCATAGAATTACCTATGACAGATACATCGATAATGGTATGCGCTATTTATTGGATCATTTCCTTCAACCGGAACTTGCTCAGCTTTGCACCTGTACTTACACCCCCGACATTCGTTGTATGTACAAGTCGGCATCACCGAACCAATCACTGATTGTCGCGATGAATTCTTGCCTATCCATACGTTGCTCCTTTCCTAAAAACATTCCAAAAAGACCATTAAAGTTAAGAAAAATTCAGTATATAATATTTATATACAACAAATGAGCTCACACACATTCCTCACATTTGGTGAAGTTTAAACCCTTGACCTCATGAGAGGCTGGGCTCTACCGGTAATCCGGACACCGCTAGGACAAATACCCTTCGGTTAAAGTTTGACTTTTGACAACACGTCTCAACATTTCATAAGTAAGCATGCAGTATCTTCACCTGTAATTGTCTTCTTGACATTGAAAAGTCCCCCGAAACCCCTGAAAAAAATCATAAGATAGACCAATTTTTTTTCAAGAAACATTCAACATAAGCACACATGAGATTCTCAAACACATAATTTCAAGATTCACGTATGCTTTACATCATGAATTCAATGAGTCTTTCGTCATGTAAGACTCAGTTGGATTCATGATGTTGAATACAATAATTATATATATATATATATATATATATATATATATGTATAATATTAAAAGAGTGTGACCTTGAAGCACAATTGTAGCCCAAATGAAATAGAAGAGTAAGTTGGGGTAGGCCATTGTTGCTCTGGTAATGTAGATAGGCTTGCAGTTGAAGGGAAGGTCTTGTTATTATAGGATTGATAAGGATTGTATTTGTGGTCAAATAGGAACCATAAAGAGGAGATAGACTGAGATTCTTAGGGTACAAAACTCATGTGTGTTTTTCTAATTTACATTTTTTTTAAGTTAAGTAAATTAATATTTCATAGGTTATATCTTTATAATTATGAAGAGTTAAAATCACTTCTTTACTTCTTAAATAGTTATCATTTCTCAAGATAACTTATGACTATATATATATATATATATATATATATAGAGAGAGAGAGAGAGAGAGAGACTTGAGATCATGTGAGACCAATGGTTTTTCGTGAGATCCATAAGTTCAATTCTCAACCCTTGGATTAGATTTACAATCTGAACATTCATAATTACAAAATTGCCACGAGACTTCTCAATAAACACAAAATTGTCACCGTGCAACTTTAGACAATTAGATCATTAGCTTATAAAGTTGATCAATGAACATAAATTGATTTTAGAAAAAGGAAGATTGGTCAAAAGTTATATTTTAAGGTGCTAAATACATCATCTTTTAATATACCCACATCTATTGTTCATTGTATTAAGGTTTTTTAAATATTTAAAATTTATAATGTGACTTTATATAATCTTTCCATTTCCAAAGTAATACTCCACCCGTTCATATATCCAAAATCCCTTCTTCAAACTAAACATCTCCCACCAAAATCACACTACACTTCAAACATTTAAAATATATATGTCTCTATATTTCTTTAATAGACATAAAGATTTCATATAAATAGGTTTCTTTTGCAAAATCAAGGTAGTTATTAACCTTATCGTTTTTTTCAAAGGAAAACATCATTCTTTTATATGCTCTCATTTAGGCATGGGAATGTCCCCCGACCCGTCGGGAAACCCGGTCCACCCGCCCCCGTTGGGGACGGGGATTTCGCACTAAATCAGGGATGGGGATGGGGATGGGGATCCCCGTTTGTCTCAAACCGGGGATGGGGACGGGGGCGAGTATGGTACTCCCCGCCCCGCCCCTTATCTGTTATATATATATATATATATATATTAATTAATAAATTATGCACACATACATGTATATATGTATATTATTTATTTCAACTAAAGCAATAATTTATAATTTCCTATTTCTTAATTAGGTTTATAATCTAAAATTGTTACTTTTTGGATGTTAATATGTAATATTTTGGATATCAAGTCAAAATACAATTACTCGATAAATTTTGTATATTATTCGATATGATTTTATATTACTCATTATTTTTTGGTACATGTGACTTTTTTTTGGATTAAATTGAATTTTTTTTTGGTTTTAGGTTATTATTTCTTATATGATATTGTGGTTTTTTTGTATTAAATTAAATTCATTTCGGTTTTAGGTTTATTGAAAATGTTTGAGATTTAAACATGTATGGTCTCTCACATATTTAATTCATAATAACTTATATAAACGGGAAAAAAAATCCATGTTTCTTCGTTCAGGATCCCCGTTTCCCATTGGGGATGGGGATGTGATTATATTCCCCGGCAGGAATGGGGACGAGGACGGGGATAGAAATAAGTAATCGGGGATAAGGACGGGGATTGAGATACCCGCACCATTCCCATGCTAGTCTCATCTATTCTTCAAATTAAAGATGTCTCGTTAATATGAGATAACCAAAATCACACCATATATCAAGATATTAACATACTTTTTTTTAAGATTTTTTTTTAAAAAATACTTAACTCTCGTAATTTCACATTGTATGCTTTTTCTCCTTCTTTAATATATAAAAAGACTTCATATAAATAAGCTTTTTTTTTGCAAAATGAATTTAGTCATTTAGCCGATTAAGGGGTCGTTTACCAAACGCTTATCCGGGTAAGCGTTTAACAATTCACATTACCTTACCGAGTCAATATGGCAAGGACCAATAATCTTACCCGGTAAGAGCGAAGACAAGGACCGAGAGTCTTACCCGATAAGTGACGGCGACGACTCTTACCACGGTTAGCACTTACCAGGTTAATTGTTGCATACGATACCGTTTAGGTGGACTAAAATCTTACCTGGTAAGTGACTGATAGTTTTAAATTTTGTCGGTAAGCACTTACTCGGGTAAGTGTTGGTAAATGACCCCTAACCCTTTTCATTTTCAAAGGAATATTTTATCCCTTTATTCCCATAATCCATTAAAAAAAACTGAAGATTTCTCAACTAATGTGGGATAACTAAAATCAAACCGTATTTCAAGATTTTAATTTACTTAAAATCTTATAGAGATATATATTTTTTTATTTTATATGATTAATATTTTTACTAAAAGAAGGTTGGACAAAATGGGCAGATCCATGAGTTCGGAAGGTCGGCTAAAATAAGCCAACAATGCGCGACATAGGTGGCGGGCCAAATCGTGCATATCGTATGTCGTGTCTTCCCGCACCATGTGTTGGTCATTCCCCAACCGTTTCCCTGACCGTTGTTCGGCTGTTTAACCGACTGTTCTCCGACCGTTTTCCCAGTCGTTCTCTTTCAATGGTGACAATGAGAATGCGTCTGTTACATATACTTTTTACATACATGCATAGAATCTTCCACGTCTACTTCAACTCTCATCTTCTTTATCTACCACTAAAGGAATTTTTAAGAATTCCATGTTGTTTGTTATTGTAACTTTGAAAAACAAAATTCATTAAAAAAATAAAAAGAAAGTAAATGAAGAAGCAAATCAAGAAAAAAAAATCAGGTTAATAATGAATTTACATATTTTTCATATAGGGGCAGAAAAATCTTTAATAAATTAATATTTAAAAAAATTAAAAAAAAATTAGAAATTTGATAAATACATCTCCTACTCTACCAACTTATCACCTCAACTCTCTAATGTTTCTCTTTTACATATAGATATAGATTTATGTTTCCAAAAGTGAAATTGACTTTATTTGGTTTTTTTTATTAACCAGGATATCCAACCCGCTATGCGAGCCGACTAATCCCAGCATGACCACCTGAAAAGCAGATAATCCGGAGTCACCGCATTTAAACCTCCATGGTCGCAAGGAGATTTTTATTTCTTTTTGGATTTGAACCTGATATATAACTCATTTGTCAAAGGAGTGAGGTGACTTTGCCTAAATACAAGATAAGTCCTGGGTCAATCTCAGACTCCTCACTGGTCTCAACAAATAATACCCCCACACTTTATCCAAGTTTTTGAAAGTAGATTCCATATGAGATCAATTAGGATTAACGGTAATAACTCTTTATCCAAAAAATTTCGAGATCAATACAGTATTTTGTTGGATTTTCAGTAACAAAATAATTACTACCGGAATAATATTGGTTAATATAACGATAGTTTTAGTTTGTAATCAAATTAGTACACTGTTTTTCCATAAATATATAATTATTAAAAAATTTATAACAAAAGAGGACAATTTTATAAAGAGGGAAAATTTTCTTCAACCCTTAATTAAGAATAAAATAAGAAAATAGACATTTACTATTGAAAGTGAACACTTATTTTAAGATAAACTAAAATAATAATACAGATACTTATTTTCAAATGAAGGCAATACCTTTTTTAAATGCAAAGTATACATATTGGTTATAATGTTAAAAAAAATATAGTTATTTAAGGGGTGTTTGAGATTGCTTATAAAAATAACTTATTAATTTATTCCGATGTGGCACCGGTAATAAGCACTTTTGAGTGTTTGGATAAACAACTTATACCGGTGTCAAACCAGTAATAAAGATTTTTTGAAGAAGTTAAACCCTTCTGACTTATAATAAGTTGATAAATGTTTTTGTAGAAAAACATAAGTTGTTTTAAATAAACAATGAAATAATATCAAATTTGGGGTTTTAAAGTAAGGTTTAAGGTTTTATTTTTCAAGGGTGTGTGTTTTTGGCTATGAGGTCCCCTATTTGACACACAGCCTCACTTTTGGACCAACTCATGCAAAATTACCTTAACACCCACGGCCTTGTTCACATTTTTAAAGATACAAAGGGTAAAATGGAAATTTTCTTGTCATAATTAATGGGGAAATTTATAAAAATAACCGTTTTACACAATCATTTGCCACAAAATAACCACATTTTAGAGGTTTTGCCAAAATAACCACCTGGATCGCCCCCGTACATAATGGGGGCGATCCCCTTAAAAAAGTAAAAAAAAAATTCCTCAAAAGTCGAGATTACTGTTCACATCGTTGACCGTGTTTGACCTCGCCCGGGGGCGATCCATACTATTCACGGGGGCGATCCGTACTGTTCACCCGTGAATTTTTTTTTTTTAAATTGAAGTTGTATTTTTTTAACTTTTTTAAAACCAAATTTCATGAGGAAAAGATTTAAAAATAAATCTTTATAATTATGGAGACGTAAAAATTAATTTTCTCTGTTTTGTGTTTCGGAAATCAGATATAATATCTGATTGACGAAATTTGACCTCTATTTTTTTGTTTTTAATTTTAAATTTCACGGTTTTTCGTTATAAAATAACCGGATGATAATTGTGGTTACGAAAAAAAAAATATTTAGTTGATTTTTGGAGAAAAAATCAGACATTATATCTGATTTCAMGGTTTTTKATGATATGACAACTCTATGACGCCGATTTGACGTTGATTTTTGGAGATCGCCGATTTTACTTTTTTAAGGGGATCGCCCCCATTATGTACGGGGGCGATCCGGATGGTTATTTTGGCAAAACCTCTAAAATGTGGGTTATTTTATGGCAAAAGATTGTGTAAAACGGTTATTTTTATAAATTTCCTTAATTAATGAACTGTTTATCAAGTATAGTAGTTTGTTCATATAACTTCATATATAGACATTTTAAATGACACATATGTCAAATAAATAGTTGATTGCCATGAAATATACTGTTGAATTCATCTAAGGTCATATACAAACAATTTATGTCATTTCAGATAAAAAATAATACTGAAATCATTGAAAATGTGTTGACAATTGAAGTTTCTAAATGCTTCTACAGTTTTAATTATTGTGAT